TTCTGCATATGTAGATGCCACTGATTCTTCACGTTATGTAGATGTAGATGACACTGCTTCTTCATGTTCGGTAGATGTAGATGCCACTGGTTCTTCATGTTCTGCAGATGTAGATGCCACTGGTTCTTCACGTTCTGCAGATGTAGATGCCACTGGTTCTTCACGTTCTGCAGATGTAGATGCCACTGGTTCTTCACGTTCTGCAGATGTAGATGCCACTGGTTTTTCACATTCTGCAGATGTAGATGCCACTGGTTCTTCACATTCTGAAGATGTAGATGCCACTGGTTCATGTTCTACAGATGTAGATGCCACTGGTTCTTCATGTTCTGCAGATGTAGATGCCACTGGTTCTTCACGTTCTGCAGATGTAGATGCCACTGGTTCTACACGTTCTACAGATGTAGATGCCACTGGTTTTCACATTCTGCAGATGTAGATTCCACTGGTTCTACACGTTCTACAGATGCAGATGCCACTGGTTATTCACGTTCTATAGGTGGAGATGCCACCACTGCCATCTATTGTGCTTACGACTCTCAATCCGAACAGGCAACTGGACCATACGGACAGGGTTTATTCGTATATCTCAAAGTTCGTAAGTCGAATGTTCGTAAGTAGAGGAGTGGGCGAAGCGTTTGCACCTAGGGGGCGTGTCTCTGCCCATATTTGGTCCAAGCGAAAACCCCGAATGGGGGGGAGGGCATGCCACCCCCCCGTTCTCGATTCTGCTCACGGAATTGAGAGTATCGATTAATGAAGGATTAAATCGCCACATCTATTAATTGCAAAGCTATCTGCGGATCGAGCGTTGCCAGCTTAGGCTTGATTTGGCTCATGTCCGCACGATCGACGATTCGCTCGCAGCCCGTTTGTAGCCTCATTACCTCATTACGGCTGTAAAACGGTGAAGTCGATTTACAAAAAGAAAATCTATAAAGCCGCCCGGCCCCCCTCCCCTCCCTCCCGGGTGAGCGAGCCGAAAGCGTGAATCGTTGGCACGTCCAACGCGTTGTGCGCACACCACTTCGGTCCGATGAGAGTTCGACTTTTGTCGGGTGGTGGAAGGGTTTCCACGGCAGCAACTCGCTGACGTCACTTTCCCCAACAGTCTGTTCAGGCTATACGTGGGGGGGGGGGGATCTTTATCTTTGTCTCTACCTGTGTACATGTGTATGTCTGCCTGTGTACGTGCGCCTGCATGTGTGTGTGTCTGCATATAGCATTATTGGCAGCATGCTGTGCATTGCCGCATCATCTCCACCTGTGTGTGCCCCCCCCCCACCACCATCTTCAAGTTATTCCCACGATCTCGAACGCCCCCCCCCCCCATCACTGCCTGAGCCTGCTGCTGCCTGCTTCCTGCACCTCCACCTGCACATCCACCTGCACCTCCACCTGCACCTCTACCTGCACCTCTACCTCCACCTGCACCTGCACCTCCACCTGCATCTCCACCTGCACCTCCACCTGCACCTCTACCTCCACCTGCACCTCTACCTCTACCTGCACCTCCACCTGCACATCCACCTGCATCTCCACCTGCACCTCTACCTGCACCTCTACCTCCACCTGCACCTCCACCTGCATCTCTACCTGCACCTCTACCTGCACCTCTACCTCCACCTGCACCTCCACCTGCACCTGCACCTCCACCTGCATCTCTACCTGCACCTCTACCTCCACCTTCACCTGCACTTCCACCTGCACCTCCGCCTGCATCTCCGCCTTTGCCTTTTCGCCTCCGTCTGTTTTTTTTTTTGCCAAAACCTCCCACGCAGCAATGGCGCGCGGGGCAAATAACAACACAAAATAAATAAAAATCCACTCGCTGCCCATGGGAATGTGGAATTGTCTTCCGCCGCGGTGGTAGCGCCTCGGGTAAAGTTGGCACGCCCCAGCGCCCTTCGCTTGACCAACAACTCGAACCTCACGTGCGCGTGTGTGTGCATGCGTGTGTGTGTGCATGCGTGTGTGTGTGTGCACGTGTGTGTGTGTGTGCATGCGTGTGTGTGTGTGCATGCGTGTGTGTGTGTGCACGTGTGTGTGTGTGCATGTGTGTGTGTGTGCATGCGTGTGTGTGTGTGTGCGCATGCGTGTGTGTGTGTGCATGCGTGTGTGTGTGTGCGTGCGTTTGTGCGCCCTTAAAAGGAACAAAAAAAAACAGATGACAGTTCGGGCAATGGCCCCTTCTTCGTGTGCTATGAAGAAGGGCCATTGCCCGAAACGTCTGTCACGTGTTGTTATTTTCTTTCTTCCTTTTAAGGCCGCAGCGTCACTGACGGGCGCGTCGAGTTTTATTGATCGCGAGCCTGGTGGCACGGGTTCCATACCCCGTGGGTGGCAAGGGCCAACGCCGCTGGCGAGCGATACCGATCTGAACCGGTCCTGGACCTTCACCAACACCTCCGGTTGTCCGGCGAAAATTCGTGGGAGAGGTGACGAAATCAGGCTCCGCTAAGTCGACAATGCGTGCGTCCTGCCGGACTTACAAGCCACGCCCACACGATGGTGGGCGTGGCTTGTAAGGGGGCTGGTGGAGGGTTTCCCACCTTCGCGATGCGGTGGTGGAGGGTGCGGGCGGGGTAGCCGTCAATTTTTCTTTTTAAACGGGGCTCAGGTCATTGACCCCCCCACCCCACCCCCCCCCCCCCAAAAAAAATGTAATTCTATCGCAAATGTTTTTAAACAATAGCAGAGAACGTTAAATGCCGATGGGATTGACCTGACCCAACCCCCAGGTGTTCATGTACGTGCGCACGTATGCATGGTATGTTGAACTCCTATCGCCGCACCGCACGTGGCGAATCGGGGGGTCACGTGGGGGGGGGGGGGGTGGGGGGGACAGCGAGGGACAAGAAACTAAACACAAAAAGCAGTTCTACGGGAAGTGAGAGTGTTTCAATCTAGAAGTGAGTTTTCAATCTACAAATCGTCCTCCTCCTTGGCAACTTTCCACTTGACCTGCACCGTCGCTCTCTCTCTCTGTCTCTCTCTCTCCGCTCACACAGCCGCCTCCGGCGTTTCCCACAGAAGCCCCCTTTCTCAACGTGCCTCCTCCTCTCTCCAGTGCGCGCATTCCTCGAAGCGAAGGCCCAAACCCCCGAGCCCTTTCCTCCTCCCTCGACGACGACACGACACCCTGTTTCCCGCGCACTTCGCGTTCGTACGCCGCGGGGAAATGTCGCCACAGTTGGGGGGCGGGCGGGCGGGGGGTGCCCGCGGTGGCGAGATGTTGACTACCTCGCCTGGTATGCAGGACGGTCGCCGCTTCGATACCGACCCCTGTGACGGCCCGTTGTGTATTTGAGGTTTGTGTGTTTTCTCCCCCTCTCTCTCCCCCCCCCCCCCCTCCGTGGTCGCGTGGATTTTCCTCCGGGTCCTCCGCTCTTTCCTGTCCATATTTAGAATCAACGTCACGCAAGCGTCTGGCCGCTATGAATTTCCCACGCGATGATGATGACGACGATAAGCCACTTGGTCGAGCTATCATTTGTGATGGCCAGGTCGCTTCTGAAAAAAAGAGCTACGTAGCTCAGTGCTTCCTGACCCGCTGAAATTAAAATAGTTTGCAGTTTTGCTCTAACGCCTTTGGCGTTTTATTATTTGTCCTTTTGCACCACCGCCAATGGCAGTGTCGCAAGAAACTACGGCGTAATGTAAGGACGCGTCGCTTAAATGAGGTGTGCTTATATCCAGCTGGAGCTGCAATGTACCCACCTTGTCCTCAAGGGTTACGATGGAAACCTGGGCAGCACCACTTATGTGTGTGAGTGTGTGAACGTGTGTTCGTTTAAATTTAAGATGAATACTTTTTTTTATCCGGTATAACCTGTGCACATGACCACGCGCTTTTGCTTTATAGCTACGCCGGAGGAATGTTCAAGGTTTATTTTTTTAAATCAAAATTGAAAACTTGTTTGTCCACTGTTGCTGTTCTTGTTGCAAAGACATCGCGTCCTGATCCAATTGTGATTTTGTTTCGAGGATCAGTGTTTTTTGTGAGTTTACATAAACGAGGATATAGCGGCCCCTAGTGGCTGCAGGAACCCACGTGTACAGGGACTCCTCTACTTACGAACGAGTTAAGTTCCAGAGGTACTATTCGTAAATCGATTTTACTCCCGTCGATTCCAAACACGTTGTAAGGCATGTACACTAAACACGGGGAATGGCTTTAAAAGTTGTATCATCTCCTGCAGATGTAGATGCCACTGGTTCTTCATGTTCTGCAGATGTAGATGTCACTGGTTCTTCACGTTCTGTAGATGTAGATGCGACTGATTCTTCATATTCTGCAGATGTAGATGCTACTGGTTCTTCACGTTCTGCAGATGTAGATGCCATCACTGCCATCTATTGCACGGCAGTTGAACTTACGACTCTCGGTCGGAACGGGCAACTGGACGTACGGGCAGGTTTGTACGTAAGTCGAATATTCGTAAGTAGAGTAGTCCCTGTATTCTTCACGTAGCTATATGTTTTGAAAGAACAAAACGTGAATAACCCTACGCGTGATTTGATGCGTGCATTGTTAAGCCGAACGGTCGATACTCGTCGATGATTGAATTCATTGATGTGTCACAGATTTATTTTTTGAGGTTTGGCCACGGAACGTTCAGGCCAAATCTAAGCCGTAAAAAAACCCTCCACCACCCAACGCAACCAAACGCCTTAAATTGCCGCGTGTGAGCGAGCGTTCAGCGCGCCCATCATCGTCGTTGTCGCAGCTCACTCACCGGTAAGTTGAAGTTAACCAATGCGTCGTTACCTAACCTCTGACCCCGGACGTTAACCTCTAACCCTCGCCGCCTGCGCCCGTTCAAACCACCTGCAACTCCTTTACACCCTGTACCTCCCCCCCGCACACCACAACCACCACCGCCCCAACCACCCCCACAACCACCACAACCAACCACGACTACGACCACCGCAACCATCGTTGCCACAACCACCACAACCACCGCCACCGCCACCACCACCGCCCACAACCGTCGCAGGCTTCGTGAGCGGCAACCACCTAGGCTCGCTCTTCTCGGACAAGTCCGTGGACGTGACCATCCTGGCGCTCTGCGTCGTGGTGGCCTTCGTGCTGGGTGCGGCGCTGTCGGGCGTCACCGTCTACTGCCTCTGCGGCGAAGGCGGCGCCGGCTGCACCTCCTCATCCTCCTCGTCGTCGCCCTCCTCCTCCTCGTCGTCCCCGCACTTCCTCTCCCTCCGCTGCAAGAAGGCGGCCGCGGCCAAGAAGCTCCGAGCGGCCGGCGGCGGCGGCGGCGGCGACGGCGGCGGCGGAGACCTCGGCTCGTCGTACGGCATGGAGACCCACGCCACGCTCACGCGGCTCAACAGCTACAGCCCCGGGCTGGAGCCGTGCGGCAAACACGACGGCGGCGTCGCCGGATCGCCGCCGCCGTGCGGCGGCGGCGGCGGCGGCATCGTGCCGCTAGCCGGGCCTCCGACGCCGCCGCTGTCGCACGCGACCGCCATCGCGATGGCGACCGAGATGATGCTGATGATGCCCAACGGGGGCTTGGGCTCGGCGGGCGGCGTCGGCGGGCTCGGCGGCGCGGAGCAGATCCAGACGGAGCTGGCGGCCGGGCTCCCGACGCCGGACGCGACGCCGGTGCTGCCGCTCAAGAACTGCTGCAACCAGGCCCGGCGCGACTGCTGGGAGCAGGAGCAGAACCTGAAGAACGCGGCCGGCAAGAGCGCCACCGCCGCGCTGCTCGGCCAGCACCAGCAGCAGCACCACAACGGCGGCCACCACCACCCTCACCACGCTCCTCACCACGCTCACCACAATCACCATGGCAGCCACCACGGCCACCACCACAACAACCACGGGCATCACCACCACCACCACCAACACAACATCCAGCAGCAGCCGCAGCTACAGCTGCAGCAGCAGCAGCAGCAGCGCCACCCGCAGCAACCGTCCATAGCGGAGATGGCGTACGTGCAGGGCCTCCCCACGAGCCCGGCGTCGGGCGTGCCCCACATCCTGTCGGAGCAGGGCCCGCACCACCTCGGCAACTACAGCCACAACAGCGGGCACCAGCGCGAGCCCAGGGGACACGGAGGAGGCGCCATGGACAAGCTGGACGAGGTGCTGGCCTTCTTCGAGGAGCAGTCGCTGCTGCTCAAGGTGGGCGCCAGCGGCCGCGACGCCCGCCTGCCCACGTCCTGCTCCTCCTCGTCCTCCTCGTCGTCCTCCTCGTCATCCTCCTCGTCGTCGTCTTCGGCCGCGGTCGCGGTGACGTCGGTGTCGGCGCGCAACAGCCTGCTGGCGCCGCCGGGCGCGAAGGCGCCGCTCGAGCCGCAGCCGCCGCCGTCCGCCGGCGCCGCCGGCGCCGACAAGAAGAAGCCACGCGCCGGCGTTCATCACGGCGCCGGCTCGCTGCAGCGCGGCCTCGCCGCCCCCTCCGCCTCCCGCAACCCCAAGGCACAGGCGGCGCAGCCGCAGCCGCCGCCGCCGCCGTCGTCGGACCTGGCCAGGGGCCGGGAGTCTCCCGACGACGACGCCGCCCCCCCGACCCCGCCGGCGCGGGTCGACTCGGTGCAGCCGGGCACGGCGCCGTCGCCGGCGTCGTCGTCGGCGCCGTCGGCGCACGCCGGCTTCGCGCTGCCGCAGCCGCGCTGCTTCGGCGCCGCCGCGCCCCAGCCGCAGCACGGCCTCCTGGCGCGCCAGTCGAGCTTCTCCGGCGGCGGCGGCGGCGCGCTGCCGCCGGTCGGCCTGATGCCGCGCACCAACGCGGGCGTGAAGCGCTCCCACTCCGTGAAGCCGGACGTGCCGCCCAAGCCCGGGGCGGCGGCGAAGGCGGCGCCCTGCGTTTGAGAGCGCCGGCGCGCGGTGGCGAGGGCGGCGGCGGCGGCGGTGGCGTACCCCCGGGGATTTGTCTCGACGGGAGGACGATGGCGCGGCGGGGGTGGTGGGGGAGGGATGGTGGACGCTGGGACCGTGGCGTTCGCGTCTACGAGAAGATTTGGCGGCCGTGCCACCGGCGCCGCCGGCCGCTGGCGCCGGTGGGGGCGGCGACGGTGGCGGCGACTGCCGGTCGCCAGGACTGCCCGTTGGCTCGGCTTCCCCGACGCTCGATCGAGCGTGGATACGCGTCGAGCCGTTAGCGAGAGACTGAAGGACGTTATGCTCCCCCCTGCCCCCCCTGCTCCCCAACCCCTCTCGTCCCCCCCTCCCGCCCCAGTACTTTGGTTCTGGACGTCAGTCCTGAGAGATAATGCCGCCGTTGTAAAACGCTGCTTGCACCGCACGTTCGTAAAGTGAAATTCATTCGTTGGTGGTTTTTTTCTTTTCAAGACCGTGGCTCTACCGGCGGTCTTCTGTAAGTAAAGTGAGAGAAAAAAAGAAAGAGCTTCGGAGCTCATCGGATTTCTCCCGGAGAAGTAAAGATTCTGACTCTGGGCCTGGTCCGCTGGAGACTCATCCGAGGTGCGCGGCTTCCGACGCCACCGCCATCCCTGGCGTGCAGCCACTGGGCAGGGAGCGTAACGATCAGCCGACCTCGCAGCTGGACAGGCCACCACTCCACGTTCCCGTTGGGGCTGTCTGTGGTCCGGAGCCACGTGCCGTCGGGGTCCGAGACCGTCCTCCGGCATCGCGTGTCCCCACCCCGCTCTCTTGCCAGTGAACACAGCCCCCCCCCCCCCAGGCCTCCCCCGCCCCCCCCTCTCCCCACTTTCAATGTAACAGAAGCAGCGCGACAATGCATGGCTTCCTACTCGATTGAAATCACCTACAACAGCGGTCATTGACGCCCCCCCCCCCTTAAACAGAGAGTCGTGGGAATCTTCGAGCCTTTCATGGGTAAAACCATCGTCGAAGCAGTAATAATCATCATAAACAATCAAATTCTCCTACACGGCATAGGCAGTGGCGCTCGCGTAACGAGACCTCAACCAATGTTGCTTTCTCATTGATTAAGCTTCAAATTACCACCCGTCACAGCAAACCAATCAATTGGAAGCCTGCTTGCGGTCATCGACACGTATCGTGAGTGGCGGTGGTGGTGGCAGTGGCGACGGTGATGAAGATGCGCAGCCGAGGGGAGGCAGTGGTGGCGCCACGTGGAGACGTTCCCGCACCAGTCGGCCGTCGGGAGCTTGTAGCAAACCCCGTCAGGCCAGCGGCCACTCAAAAAAGTACGAATCGGTGTCGCCGGGGAAAGCCCCGCGGTTAATGGCGCGTCGAAGGGTCCCCCGCCGCTTGCCCCGTCTCAACTCGCTTGCTCGGACGGACGGACGGTTGGTTGGATGGTTGGTCGGTGGTCGGTCGGATAGACGAGGGTGAGGTTCATGGGATTGACGATGCGAGGGGGGAGAATGCGCGAATCGTGGAAGGCTGTATGTCCCATTGTCACGGCGATCGCCATCGCCATTTTTGTTCCACTTACAGCAGAACAATGCGGCCAGACCCTCTCCGAGCGAGCGAGAGAGAGAGAGAGTTGGAGCACCGCGCGGATGACAACCGTGAGATTTCCAAGGATGGAAAGAAGTATGGATTTATTTATTTTTTTGGTGTGTGTGGGACAAAAATATTTCCTGACTCCCACTCCTACAAGCAATCCCTCCCCTCCCCCACCACCAGCCCCTGCCACCAGCAGCGCCACCACCACCACTCACCCCAACAACAGAACACGACTTCACAGCAGAAGGCATCTCAAGTGCGACTGTGGGAGCGCAAGCGCGAAGCTGGGAAATTGGCGCGTGCGACGTCGCAAGATTTTTCGTGTTGTTATTTTTTTTCCTCCTCCCACCCCCCCCCCCCCCGTAGGCCCCAAGCAATAAATACGAGAGTCACTGGGTTTCCAATTATACGGAGAGGGTAGGGAGAATGTTACGTTCTTTTTTATGTTCTTTTTTTTTCATTTTCACGACAACTTCCGATAGCCTTTCGTACGCCGCGATCGCTCGCGTCAAAGTGTGACGTGCGTCCTCGAGCGGGCGACGCCGACGTCGGGCCCGGTGCCACGTGGCCGCCGCCACCTTCCGCGGGGAGGTAAACGAGGGCAGTGACGTCAACGCGAGCGACGTCACTTCCTGTGACGTCATACTTTCGGAAACAATCCGAAGCAAACTAAATTCTGGCTGCCCCCACAAATATCTTCCAGATTTTCTTTTTTTTTATATATCGATCTCAACTTTGGGAGCCGCATCACCTCGTGGAAAGTTCACCTCTTAAGAATGTGATAAAACAACAACTAAAATTAGACCAATTATGTTTTCACTCCACATAATTAATTGGCGCGATGAACAGACGTGATTCCTAATAACCGCCCACTGGTCGAAAAGGATTATTCTTTCGTACGCATTAATAGCAGCAGATTAAAGACGTAACTTTAGATGTTGTTATCCACTCAATTGTCTCTTCAGACGCCGGGTGGATCTCGTGCGTTCCTCCTTCAAAGGCGTGAAGACAGCTGATCAGATGTCACGCCAGTTTAAGTGGCCGCCACAAATGTTTGTGTTTGTCTTATCGGCATTCCAGACCGGGCCTGTTCAACAATTGCTGCTGAATTCCCAGATGTTGTTGACACTGGGCTAAAATTGGTCACGGGTTACATTATTCAACAACAACAACAGCAACAAATCATCCTAATCCACCGCATCCGAAACACTTTCATCCTTAAACAAACACAATTTTGGACGTGTAAATAGTTTGTTTGTCCTTTGTGTCGGCCGGCAATTATTATTTTTTTAATGGTAATGACATCGGTTTTTTATATTCTATTCGTCAGATCAAATTTACAATCGCGTTCATTTTATAAATACACACACACACACGCGATCAAACAGCACTTAATTGAGCGTGCACAAAAAAAGGGTAAACAAATTGGAAACCCAGTGAGAAATATATTATTATTATTTTTCACGGAACAGTTGGGGGTGGGGGGCGGGATCGGTGCCCTTGGGGGAAAGAGGATGAGATGATACCACAGAGAGGGGGGGGGTAGACCATTATTCTACGCTTCTCCAGTGGCACATCAGAGCCTCGGGGGGGGGGGGGGGGGGGCACATCACAGCGCACCCCACCGGGTTAGGTTTTTTGTTTTATTTTCCCCACTGGCTCTATGCCGAGCTAAGCCGGATACCAACCCGTGATAAGCTGGCCTCTTCCCGACAAACCCTCTGAGTTTGGCTCGGGCCCGGCAGGGCCCAACGGTGAGGTTTTAACGATAGTTATCGGCGATGCGCGTGATACGAGTTGTCGGTAGTACAGCGTGAGGACGCCGGCGTCATCGCACCGTCCTACGCGAATCGACACGACGGACACCTCCATTCGGGTTGCACGAGACCGCAACGTATGGGCAGAGAGAGAGGGGGGGCGGGGGGGGGGCACGCGAAGTGGCACGGCTCGGTTTGTGCAGTGGGAAAAAAAACAAAAACCGACCCCGGCCCCGTGCGGCTCGGGTCGGTTTGTGGCAGGTGGGGGAACAAAAGTCATTAAAAAAACCGGTTCGAGTGTCGACCACAGCCGGGGGTTGTCGACGGGTCGCCACGGAGCGAGCGTGGAGCGGTCTGGAGCATCCTCCTCCTCCTCGAGGAATTTTACCGGAGTCCTTGTGGAACTTATTCCTCTACACATTCTTCTTGCATTGCTTCAGTTGCTGTCCCCTCGGACCCCCCCCCCTCTGCCTCGCCCACCGCGGCTGCGGTTTAGCACGGCTGGCTACGTACGGTGTGAAACAAGTTCAACATTCATATCTATACACCCTACTATTCACTGCATTATACACTACACTACTATACACTATACACTACACTATAAACTACGACTATACACTACAAACTACTACACACTACACCACTCTACATTACTACTGTACACTACTACACACTACACCACTCTACACTGCACTATACACTACACTACTACACACTATACACTACACTATAAACTACGACTATACACTACAAACTACTACACACTACACCACTCTACATTACTACTGTACACTACACACTACTACACACTACACCACTCTACACTGCATTATACACTACACTACTACACACTATACACTACACTATACACTACGACTATACAATACACACTGCTACACACTACTACACACTACTACACACTATACCACTATACACGACTACTATACCTAGACACTACTACACACTACACCACTCTACACTACTATACACTACTACACACTACACCACTCTACACTGCATTATAAACTACACTACTACTATACACTAAACAATGCTACACACTACAGAACTATACACTACTACTATACAATACTAATACACACTACACACTAAACTATTACTATACACCACACAATACTACACACTCCACTATGATACACTACTACTATACACAACACCAATACACTACATTGAGAACTGATTTCTTTCGCACCGCTTTTAGCATATTTAGTTTATTGTCTCCCCCCCCACCGAACCTCATATTTACACGGGTGGCTACGTACGGTGCGAAAAAAGTTCAACACAGACGTACATACAAGCCGGCGAGAATATTTACCCCCCCCCCCCCGTCTAACTCAGGCAGAGAGAAGGAAGCGAAGGCCGTTACCCCGACGTCACCCCGACGTTACCCCGAGTCCATGACAGCAATACCCCCCCCCCACACACACACACTGGCGTGGTGGTGGTGGGGGGGGGGGAGGTCAAAGACAAAGAATCGAACACACAAAGGAAAACATGGCCAATTCCTAACGTGCCCCCCCCCCCCTCTCTCTCTCTTCTTCTTCTTCACTCAAAGTCAGCGGCTTGTGGGAGGGACGGAGAAGCCCGGCCGACTAAAAAAAACGCTTTATAGCTCATCGGATTCCTCCAGTAGAA